ATTAAAAAAGTTGAAATAATTTGATATTAGTATATCCGAACATGGAAGAGCAGTTGCATATCCTGGGTAATATTTTAATAATTTTGTAAAGAAATTTGCAATTGCATAAGTTGAATATTGATTTTCGTACTCAATAATACTAGAAAAAATTTCTTTCTTGAGTAAAACTGCGTTTTGGAAGAATTCAACGTCAAGAATATTGTTTTTAATCAAAGCAATAAATGTATCGATGATATAGAGAGAATTGTCACTGCTGCTTATGAAACGTAATATCTCATCATATTGATCGGAAAATGTTGATAAATAAAGGTATTGTATGTTATCTAAAGCTTTAAAATGAATTAATTTTAATGAAAAAATGAAAAAAATCTGGTTAATATAATGCGATAAATATTCGAATAAATTTTCCAGTAGTATCAAATCTATTTGAAAGATATTCGAAGAAGTGATATTTTGAATTGTGAATTTTAATATTGTTTCATTTTGTGTAGATTGCTCGATAATGAAATGTATCAAAAGATTCATTGAATATGAGTCAATGGAAAAGCTTAAATCCTTAGGGATATCCAAAATAAATCTTAATAAAGAAGATTCGTCTTGAAAATTAGCTTCCGAAAGTTCTATTTCAGTCGGAGCTGGAAGATTCCGATCATTTATGAATCTCGAAACGACAGAAAATTTGTATTGTTTATATTTCATTATTCGAAATGATAAACTTCAAAATCTAAAATTTATTTTTTTACAATATATTTCATCCTATTGTCAAGGCTAAATTTTTCACCGGAAGTGTATCAAAAATTGATAAGATTTACGGTGATCTAATTATGACAATTCAATGCATCTCGTGATATAACGCAGATATAAACACAACTGATATTGCATAACTAATAATTGAGTCAAATAACTAAATTATGTGTTATATTTTACACATATTTCTTCAATTTTGTAATAAATGGATGTTTAACACTAATTTTTTAAGGACTTCGACTTTAGCATCACATAAATATGTTATTTTCTATATTAAAACGTAATTTTGGTGGTCTTAGAATAGAAAAATATGCAATATTCGTGGAGATAATGAGGGTTCTTAAACATGTTCTTAAAAATAAATAAAATAATACAAATCTTTATTCAATCTTTTGATATTGTTGGTCCTCTCTTTGTGAAAATACTTAACTTCAAAGAGTATTATGTTTTACCTAGTGAGGACCTTAAGTTTGCAAAAACATAATAAAAGTAAAATAAAAAAGATCGGATTTATCACAAAACTTTGAGTATTATAGGATTTAATATATTTTCTTAGTAGATTATATGATTTAGTTTCTTAAAATCTAAAGTATTTCTTGAGGAAAATATAAATTGAAATTCAAAAAGTAAAAAAAATGTAAACAAATCAAATTTTAAATGGACCAAATGTTGATTTTTCATTCGTTTTCTCATTATCGAAAAAAATTTCGAAAGCTAAGAAGTCAATAACAAGTTATATAATACAACAAAACCCACATCGGATATGTTTTCATCAAATAGTCTCCTAGATTTGTTATGAAATTAAAATATCATGATATTTTAAGGGCTTTTGATTTCAATATTAGAATTATTCAGTTATGTCGTGCTAATATCAATTGCTTTATACAATTAATCGTTTACAAGCTGCAAAAATCGAACAATAATTTGACTTTGTAAAAAAAGTGCGTCATTTTTATTCGTTATACTTACAAAATGTAAACATTACGAGAAACATTTACATTTGTAAATGTAACAAGTAAAGTTGTATCGCATAATTTGACTTTGTAAAAAAGTGCGTCATTTTTATTCGTTATACTTACAAAATGTAAACATTACGAGAAACATTTACATTTGTAAATGTAACAAGTAAATACATCAGATTTAAATTGTAAATGTAGTTTATCTCTCTCATCTCCTTTTTAAAAGGTATTACATACATACGAACGCATGGGTCACTCAATAATTAGCGTGATAATAATTGAGGATAGACTGTAATCGTAATTTTATTTTTGGACTTATATTTCGACATTTTGAAGTCGCTTGAAAGTCTTGCAAATGATTAAATTTAGAAAATTTGACCTAAGTCTGCATTATTTTGATGACTTAAACAATTCTATAAATCTGTTTTCCTAAAAATTTAAAAAGATATAATTTCAATTTCCCTAAATTTATGTAATTCATATATCACCAAAATATTTGGACTGCATTTCGTTTGTCTGCACCTAATTAAAGTCTAAATACCAATTAATTTTGGAGTTGCAGTGCTTTTAATGTAAAAATGCACGTTTAGAAAAAGATGATAACGATTAAATTACAAAATCGATAACGACGACGATTAAATTACAAAATCAATAACCTCTCGAAATATAGGGAATCTTATTAGTATAGTCATATAAAGTGTATTGTACTAATATATCAAAATAACCAGAATATATCTATATGTTATATGAAATTATTGTATTTTTTAAGATCGTTCCATTATTCAATTTATATCTATCAAAGAAGAAAAAAAAAAAAAAAAAAAAAAGGTAGTGGGGCTTCCAGGCACTTCGTGCCCTCTAGCCCTGAAGATGTTTAGTATAAATGAAGTTTTTATTCGGAAAATTGTTAGTCTTCTGGTGTGAATTCGGAGGACTCTTCTTCTTCAACATCAAAGTCATCTGGTGTATCGAACTGAATGTATGAAAGCCAAATGTTGTATGTGTTTTCCAATTGGCTTTCAAACTTGAGATACATTCCATGCATGAGTGTTATTTCAGTTTCAACGTAGAGTTGCTGATGTGGCTTGAAGACATGCATGAGAATTGGTCCTCCAAATTCGTCCTTGAAAAACTTGCAGTAGCAAACATAAACTGAGATAGAGTCTCCTTCTTCAATGTCTTCTGCTTGGTTAACGAAATGAATAGCAATTTTGCGTACTTGAATTGTGTTGTTGTCTGAGTAAAATAATGGTTTGAACTTGGGGTTGAGTGAGCTAAGACATTGCCATTTTGCTGTTTCTTGTCCGTACTCACGTTCTTCTTCGTCATCCTGATATCCGTAACTCTTTGATTTGAATTCGACCCAACGCTGTTCGACTTTTTTTGCAGCTTTGGGTGGAAGACTTTCAATAAGCTGACATATAGTTCTGTCAACCATTATCTTTGTTATTGTTGGAAAATAGTTGACAATTGTGTCACCTAATTCGAATGGGTCAGGTGTTTCTTTTTGTAGTTTGGTAAAGTCTGCAAGAACTTTGTTGAGTTGTTCACAATATTCTTTGTTAAAAGTTGCAGGAACTCTTTCTTCTGGCTTTGAATTGAAGTATTCTTCAGACAATCTGAGTAGTATTTTGCGTAGTTCAGCGTTGCTGTGGTTCTTTGTAATACGGAGCTCGTTTGGTATTGTTTTTGGTAGTGAAAGTGGCTTTGGATTGAGTGAATTGTCTGTTCTGCTTGGAGAATGTGTAGATGCTGCAGTTTGATATTGAGGCTCTAAACCTGTGGGTGCTGAAAGTTTGCAAGCAATTTCTTCAGGTGAATTTGGAGCGAACACGCTAGCGAATGCCATTAGACAAAAATGAACTGTTTTTTTCGGACTACTCATAGAAAAGTTTAAAATAAACCGTTTTCGTCAACGGTAACCCCCTCTATTTTTTTATTTTATTTAATAGTTACCGTTGGCAAACCGTTCCATCTCAAATATTGAATGAACTATAAACGTTTTTTGTTTTCTATATATACTTTTTGTCCAACGGTAAAACTTTTTACACAACGGTTTTTGAGAGTCGTCGCTGTTGACTTTTTTGTAGAGCACTCAAAATAGTATAACTTTGTCCGGACAAGTAAGGGTCTATCGTCGCTACAGGAAAAGTTACAGGCGTTCCAAGGAAGTATACTTTGAGAAGCCTTTTCTCCTTATAGAATGAGATAGGACGGTTATTTTACAAAACTGACAACACTTTGACCGAGTAGTTTTTTGTGCTGAACAAAAAGTGTCATATAAACATCTGTCAAAAACCGTTTTTTACTTCACTTAAAATGCCACGTAAGCTACGTAAGAATATACGTAAGAGGAAGAGAGCATTGAAACATCCAATAGTAAAACTGACACCACAACAACAGTTGCAACAACAAATGATGAATGACCCCACTATGTTGCAACAAATGTCAAGCAACCCTATGCTTTTAAACCGAGTTATTGGTGCACAGAGTGGAGGTTTAAGAGCGGCACTTTTAGCGAAAATGGCAGGCTATGGTGGAGCTGCAGACGGAACAGCTTATAACCCTCAAAGTCAAATGAATTTGAGTTCACTCAAAAATCAAATAACAGATGTCAAAAAGTCAAACATAGACATACAGAAACAAATAAGTGAAAACGAAAAGAAACTAGAATATGACAGACACACAAAGAAACTCAATGAGTTAAACGTAGAGAAAAAGAAGAAAGAAGAACAACTGAAAGAACTAAGTACAGAGGAATATGCGAAAAAAGTGTCAGAAAAAGCAGCAGAAGTAGCAAAAATGGAACAAGATGTTATAAATTTGAAAAACCATACTACTCAATATAAAGTACTGAAAGATGAAGAAATAAAACAAAAAGCCCTGAAGACATATATGGATAGCGATGAGTATAAAAAAGAAGTTGAAGCAACTGTAAAGGCAGAAAAACTTTTACAGTTGCAAAACCAAACCGTACAGTATGAAAACTTAGCACAAGAAAGTAAAAATAACGACGCAGCCATGCAAAAGGCAATGAAAAGCGCAGAATATATAAAAGCTAATAATGACTGGTTAGATGCCCAAGCCAACGCCAAAGCAGCCCAACTTATAGGGTCAATAAGGACAAAAATACAAGCGGATGAAGACAGTTCAAATGAAGCTTTAATGAATGCTGACTTTAAGAACGCCTTCGAAGCTCTTCATAGTAAGGTGAAACTAGTGAACGACTTCTCATCTGGAAAGAAACTGAAGTCTGAAGGTTTCGACAACGAGTTAAGAGAAGTAGCACAAAATATGACGAAAATAACAGATGCAGCAACGAGACAGGCAGTTCAAAGTGCCTATGACGCCGTTAGAGCAACTGTTGTGGAAAGTCAAGAAAAAGAGTTACAACAGACCAAAACAGACCTAGTAAATGCTTTCTTAAGAACGAAAAGTCAGGTAGGACATTATGCTGCAGATGGAACATATGTGCCAGCTGGTGGAACTTATATACCAGCTGGTGGAACTTATATACTAGCTAGTGGAACTTATATACCACCAAACCCTCCAAGAGAAGCACCTGCACCAGGACTACCTAAAACATTTACATCGTCACATGGACACAGACACAGGCATGCACCAAAACCAACACAACAACCAACAGTTCAAAATCCAGCACAACAACCAACAGTTCAAAACACTGCACCACAACCAACAGTTCAAAACACTGCACCACAACAACCACAAACAGAGCAAGGACATAAAAGAAGTAGAGAACAAGGAAACCAAGAATTCTTAAAAATGCTTAAGGAAGACTATGGTTACCCAGATACTCTTGACTTTAGTGACAGATATAAAGAAGCTATTAAAAAGTTCAAGGAAGGAAATGCTGACCCGAACCTATTTAGCTTTATGGTTCAGCACCAAATGGGATATAATTTCAAACCTGGAAAATACAAGCTCGCTAAGGGATATGATTTAATAGCATATCATCCAAATGACATGGATGAATTTACTCCGAGATATTTGGTGTCAGAGCTAAATGATAATTCAACTCTCTTCATGAAACGCGTAAAAAATAGAGACGGAACGAAAGAAGAAAGGTTTATGAGTCCGGATGACTTAGATAGGGAACTTGTTAAAAACGGTCTCGGAATATATGAAATGCCAGCAGATGAGGTACAAGAAACTCCACAGGAAGAAGTTCAGATACAACCAGACATGGAAGAAATAGTTCAGCAACAACAGCTAGAAGAGCCTGAAGGAAACGAACAAGTTCCTCCTTTGGAAACTAACTTCACAGAACTAGATGAAGATTTGGAACAGCCGAAAAATCTTGACCCTCAACAAGTGTATGCGGGGAATATGGAATCTTCCAAGAGTCTAAGAAAAATTCGGCTGACATAGTAGAAGAATATCGAAAAATGTTCGCCGACATACAAAAGACTCCAACATCAGATGAAAATATTCAGCATAGAATGGAAGAACTGAAAGAAAGTGTACGCAAATACAACAATCCTTTTTACTTACGACCATATAACGTTCAATCTTTGGCTGAACTCGGTGAAAATAAAAGGTTAAATTTCACCAAAACATATAGAAATGAAACATTGTTTAAAGTTCATTCAGAACCTAGCCAATATGGAAACAAACCTACTTTTGTTTCTGCAGACTATGGAACTACAATGAGATGGGGTCATAAAGCTAATCCGGATAGGTGGTTCATAAACTTACAACCTCAATTCCAAGAAGTTGTAGACGCAATGGAAGTGAATGGTGAACCAGATATAGCTGGTATTTTCAGCGCGGCTTTAATGCCATTGAAAGATATGAAACATGCAGATATTTTGGACCAGTATGAAATGAACATGGCTGATGGAAATATAACACCTGACGTTCTAGAACATTTATCTCAAAGAACTACACAGAACCATAGAGATGGTATATTTGGTGAAGAGTTTAGAAAGAAAGTTAGGGAGAGAGAAGGAAGAGAACCTATTGTACATGACCTTGCAAACGAAAGTTTGCAAAATGTCATAAAAACTTACTTTGCAGACAATGAACTGAGAAGGGATGAATATTTAAGAAAACTCAAATGGACAGTACCAAATGAAATGTTAGTATTGAAAAACATGTTCCTTGACAAAATAAAACCAACTACAGAAATAAATGACGCAAGACTGAAACATTGGGTAAAAGCTTTCCCATTCACAAAAGATATTATGGTAACATGGAAAGAAAACCAGAATGGCTACAAAAAACATATATTTGGAAACGAGCTTATTCCATATGGACAAGCTCTGTTTGAAAGAGCTTGAACCGGAAACTCAGGAAAGAGTCATGCAAACAATACGCGAAGACTCAAATACAAACTATGACAAAATCTTTCTAGGATATAGGTTACCTGAGATGGGCGACCAGAGCCAAAGGCAAAAAGGACATGGGAAATTTACAACATACTAGGTGAACATGAGGCAAAGATGCAACAACTTGAAGCAGGGGCAAGTTACCAAAAGCGACACCAAAGAAGAAGAGTAGAACAAAGTGAAAATAGTGAAGAAGTAACTTCATCTAGTGAAAGTAGTGGCAATGAAGGAAAAAAAGAGTTAAAAACTCAGTTAAAAACTCAGTCAGGAAGAAAGTAAAGCTTGGTACGAGTGGGTTCTATTATGACAATAAATCCAACTATTCTATATTTTTACCCATATGAAATGTACGCCGCTCAGAATATAACGCCAACAGTTTTGGATGCCATGAACGGAAATGTTTCCGAATGGTATAACGAATGGACAATGCCATTAGAAGGTCAGAAATAGTTCCTGGAACTTACGAATATACAACTGCTGTTTCTTATGGAAACGTAGGTGAGTTTGGAGAAGGTTCTTACAACAGTAGATATTGCTTGCGACAGGTTTCATATTATTTCTTTGACAACTCATTCTTATACGTGGAACAAGACATTGAATAAAACCTTCTGCCAAGTTGTCTGACAAGAAAGGTTGCAATGGAATTTTCTATGTCGGATACCAATATGCTCCAGAAGTTTTCATGGGATATAAGATATATTCTAACTCTGACTTAGTTCAAACAGTAACATGGGAAACTATGAATGGTTCGCTTTGAGAAACTCAGTACAACCACAAGCTAGAGAACAAACAGACCAGTATGAATATTGAGAAAATAAGAAGACTTGACCCTAACGTTCCAGGAGTTTATGTTAACCTTTCTGGTTCAGATGGAACTGCTGCCACTAAAGTAAAAACTGAAACTTAGAGTTCTTTGTCATCTTTCCTCATCTTCAGGTTTTTAAGATACTTACCAAACTGGGCAGGAAAAATTTCTATCGAACTTACTCCAAGCAAAAATACTTAGTCATTGCAACACAAGACCCATTCAGCATTACTGTAGCTGGAACTGGTGGAGCCAAGTTCTGTGATTTTGCAAAGACAAGTTGACTTAGACTTTGGTTTTTTCAAACTTCAACATGAAGTAAACTATTATTTCAATGCTGCTGGAACTGCTTGGGACCCAGTTAAGTTCACATGCGAAAATTTGAATGCAAGAGAATAGAAAGCAGACTTTCAGTCTATATGTTGGACCAGATATTTCAAATGCTTTAGCTGCCAAATATATTGCAGTTCCACTTATGTTCCCTATACACCAAATATCTGTCAAAGACTTTGCAGGTGAAGTTGGAAACCAAAGTGTGCTGACCAGGTGCAAGAACAGATATTGCTTTAACAACTGCAATGAAACATGCAGATACTATGTTTGTACTGTTCAGACGAACTATAAATGACTATTCTTGTTTCTACAACCCGGTATTAAATATCATAAACATAGATGGCAAATATTATCCAAGAGAAGAATATTCTACAGTTGAGGATATGAGGTCATACAACTTGACATTAGATGCTATGAACTTTAACAACAATTCACAACAACCATTAACCCTGAAATGCAAAGTTCTATTATGCCATATGTGAAAGTATGGACTCATACAGGAGGTCAAAAAACTCAATATACAAATGGAGACCGTTCAAACTTTTGGCTTGGCATTCCATTTGCTGACTCAGAAGACTTTATGGGTGGTATTTCAACTGTTGGTACTGTACAAATACAATATACTGGTGACAGAGACGGTCCAGATGAACTGAGAGCAAAGAAGTTTACAAAACCAATAGCACTTTTCACGGAAGATGCTCTTTTGAAGATTCGTTCGATGAAACCTGCTGGGGTCCTCAGATTGGCATAACGACAGCTTCCATCGAGCAGATTTTGGCAGCAGGTCAGTAAGTTGTTCTTGAACTGACTTCTCTCCGTCAAATATTGACAGTACGCCAGTTTTGACATAATATTGTAAGATAAACTTACCTTTAGAATATCTGTAAGTTTTGTTGTTATATTTTTGTCTGCTTCAAGACTTTCACCATTTCAGTTATACCAACTTTCTTTGCTTTATGAAAATATTTTGGTTCAGCAAAGACTGCTATTCTATAACATTTTCCATTGTTTGTGTAAAGAACTATTCTGTCAATGTATTTGTATTGTTTGTGTGTGTAAACTTTGTTCTGCTTCAATTCGAAGAGATACTCGAATACGTCCATCTTTTTATTCTAAGTAAATGTCATTTCCGAAAAATAGAAGCGTGAGTGTTTCAAAAGGTTTAATGGCGGTGGCAGATGTGAAGTTAAATTCACCAACTCAAACAAACAGTCAAAGTGTTGTTTGTCAATGTCAAAGACAGAGATGTTGAAGTGGGGAAACCATACGAAGACGAAGATGGTATAACAATTGTTCCTGTAAAAGAACAACCAACATATCCTGAAGTTAGCAGAGACTTAAGTTCTGTTGCAGATATTCGAAACGACTACCAACAACTGAAAAACAAACTTCAAACTCAGGAGAAGATTTGTCAAGCTTTAAGTATAATGTTAACTTGGTCGAACACAACCCTGTAAAAGTGAACTCATATGTCATTGCACCTCATGAAGTTTTGAAAGAACTATTGAAACTTTTGACAGAGGCAGACGATATAAACATCAAAGAAATAGAACCGACATTAGTTGCTGTGGTGTTTCATATAATGTCATTGACAAGATATACGTTATGAAAGGAGGTGAAACGTTGAACTTAAAGTATAGTTTCCCAGACGTCATAAAAATATTTGACGACCACAACATTTCATTAAAATTTATTTGCTAAGTAAAAATGTCAAAACTTCTTGAAAGATGTTTGAAGAAAAATAATATAGACTTTATTTCATGTAAAGGACTTTACACTTTTGAACGATATGAAAGACCCTGTTTTGTTTGTTCGTGTAGACAAAGGAAAGTTCTATGTCTTTAAAATATTTGAACTTCTTAGACAGAGAACTTCAAGAAACGCCATGTGAAAGTTTAGATGAAGTTCTTCTCCACTTTCAGAAAACTTTTAAATATATATAAATGGCAGAAGATATTAATGGTTTATACTATTAGACTAAAAACTGAGTCATATTAATTCTATAACAACAAACTTACAAAGTCTCAAGGACGGTATTGTAACTAACTTTAAACACAATGACGACTAAAGCCTGTTTGCTCTTTTGACACAGAAGACTTTATTGTTGTGAATGGTAAAAAATACTCCTTTGAAGATACTTACTCAGATATCACAACAGGTTTTGTTGACTTATTTAATACTTTAAGTACAGGTGTAACATGTGCTGCAACTAGAGCAGGTTTCGTTATGTTTGGATGTCCGACTGAGTTTACTATAAACGATATGAGCTATAATACAAAACTTATTTTGGTTTTTACTACAACAGTTTCCTATAACAGGAAAAGGTGTCATACAAGGAATGTCTATTCCATTGACATTTAAGCACACAATCTTATATATTGTTTCAAACTTAGGTTCAAAGTGTTATTCGAATGTCGACAGAAACTATTATGACCAAAAGATACTTATGCGTATAAACAATACTTTCTCTGCTGGTTTGCTATTGTTCATTCGAATGCAGAATTTTCAACCTTAGTGAACTCAAACACTTTGGCAAGTATAACGTTGACATTAGTTGACGCAAACTTTGTTCCTGTAAAACTTTTATGTCCTATGTATTTGTCAATGACGGCAGAAAGTTTCGAATTGGAAGATGCAACTGGTGAAAGTATTGTATTACAAGAACAACTTCAACAACAATAGCTCAAGAACAAACAAATGCAACAAATGGAACAACAAAGTCAAGAATAAAAAAAAATATTTTTTTTTATTTTTATAAAATGTACAGAATA